CACGTGTTCGACTGCTACTGAGTGGCTTGGTCTGCTGAACGCGACCAATGTTCTTAAATGAAAAACGCTTAAAGCGACAACTTCACGATTTTCCCCAAAGATGACAAATTGTTTTCGGCGCTTTAAAATACCATAACTGCTAATTCTAAACCGAATGGAAGCTCCATGTAAATTTTGATGCAAATCGGAGGTGAAGAATAATATAGAAATTTACCGGTTTTTTATTAAAAATTTTTTTGTAAAAAAAAATACGAGGATAAGGAAGGAAAATAAAAATATCTGGTAATTGTATAGATGGGGGGACCACCTTGGATGACCTTGATATTTTATAGTATGTTGTCAAGGTCATCCTCCTGAGTGACCTTCAGAAGGTTTCAGCTCGCGCTCGTTATTCGTTAAAAAGTTATTAACAAAAAAAGTTTGGAAAATATAGCAGCTATTTTGAATATTGGAAGGCATATAAATGACTAATATATGTCAAAATAGTTCACGCATACACTTTCTACGCGAAACGAGGTGCCACATGTAATGGGTACGTGGCGTGCTTTACAAGCTTGTTTACCCAGCAAACACAATGCAACATGTAACGTACAGGTTAGTTGTAATTTCCTACTCAACAATATAAATGCAATATAACACACATAAATGCAATATAACACGTGTGTTATATAGCATTTATATTGTTGAGTAGGAAATTACAACTAACCTGTACGTTACATGTTGCATTGTGTTTGCTAGGTATATATATATATACATGCTTGGAACGCGTGCTATTCAAAACAAGGTCACTGTTTGTTTTGAACAGTTAATGTAGGATAATGTAGGAAAAAAAAGCACAACAGTTAAATACTTTTAAAGCGCGTCATCTAACCTAGGTAGGTTAGTGACGCGCTTTAAAAGTATTTTACTGTTTAAGGGCTGGTTGTTCCAACCTGTTGGTAAGCTAACCAATATTTAAATCAATGCCTATCTTTGTCTAATGTAAAGGATAAACAGAGACGATCTAACTATTAGTTAGCTTACCAACAGGTTGGAACAACCGGCCCTAAAGCGTGTCACTAACCTACATAGGTTATATGACGCGCTTTAAAAGTATTTAACTGTTTAAAGCGCGTCATCTAACCTATATAGGTTAATGACGCGCTTTAAACAGTTAAATACTTTTAGGTTTTGGTAAAGCAGCGACTTTCTCGCGAAATAAAGTATTCTCTGCTTTAACAAAAAGACCTCAATTTATCAACAATTTACTGCTTTAAATGTTGTGTTTTGGTAAAGCAGCAACTTTTATGCAAAACGAGATATTCTCTACTTAAAAAAAAGACGTAATATTAGTCATTTATGCCTTCTAATATTCAAAATAGCTGTGCTATATTTTCCAAACTTTTTTTGTTAATAACTTTTTAACGAATAACGAGCGTGGGCTGAAACCTTCTGAAGGTCACTCAGGAGGGTGACCTTGACAACATACTAAAATATCAAGGTCATCCAAGGTGATCCCCCCCATTTATACAATTACCAAATATCTTTTATGTCAATTAAGCAAATTTTATTTTAATGAAAAGACAACTTGAGATTCTTAAAATGTTTTATTGTTTAAAATTAGAAAACTTAAAATTAAAATTTTTCCGAGAGAAAATCTATTAAATCATTAAGGAAGTTTAATTTATCAGAGAACTTGCTCGGATAAATATCCGGTAAATCTCCGGTAAAACTCTAAAGCGCCGGATTGTACCAAATATGCTAGAAACAGCAATCTCGAAAAAATTCAGAGTTATTTGTCTAAAGAAGAATACTTGGATTACATTACTTTCGCTTTATTTTATAATGGCTGTTTATGTATATATAAGATAAAGATAATTTTCCGTAAAAATGTCGGTTAAATTTGTTTTTTTCCCAATAATACACAAAAGAATTCAGGGAAGAACTGTTTAACGATCTGTGAGAAAAAGCGTAGAGCGTTTTTCAAAATTTTTTTATGGAAAAGAATATCACTCGACAAGTGAGTTAGATTTTGCTTCTTAAGTTTCGTATCGCTGTTGTGGAAGTGACGACGAGTATGAGTACCTTTTCAATTCCGCTTTGCATATTGATCTAGTGTTCCATCGGTGTTTACTCGCGTGTCTTTATGATATTGCGTGCGTTCGCGCGTGTGCCGCGACCGTGAAAAATGG